TTTTGATATTACTTGGAACTTAAATTTAATATGTTTTAATTTTTTATTTCAGAAACATTAGTGATATTATTAGTCAATCTACCATACACATATACATAAAACTACGCAAAAGCAAAGCCCCATAGAGTGTACCTAATATTATTATATTGGTAACTTACAACACTTAACAGGTAAGATTTGCTTTTGAAAAAATATAATGGACGTTTAATTAGAAAAGTATACGTATTTCATTAATAAAATGTATAGTAATAATGATTTTGTAATTTTAACGGAGGACAGAAGTACTATAAAATCATAAACTGGCGTCGAAATTTAAAGAAAAAAAAGAGGAAAGGCCGAGGTCTGACGATTAAACGACCTGTGTCAAATGCACATGCCATACACTTTCCACCCTTATGTTAGCCAGTCAGACAGTGTCAACGTAGTAGGATTTGGCGATGGTCATGGCCCTCGGCGACTACATAATGATGTTCAACAATAAAGAGTGGCCAGTTGTAGGCTGTAATGCCCCAAACGTTTATTGAACGGTTGGCAAGAATAATATTTAAATAATTTTTTATAAATTCGACCTATTGTCTGATATAAAAAAAAATTCCAGTCGGAACTAGTTCCGACTGTCGGCGATTTTCAATCCGAGGGATAATGTCAAACTTACATCTTTCGAGATCGCATGCTTCCATATGTGGACCATATGAAATATATAATTTGAACTCTTTAGCCCCCGGATATCCGATTTGAGCTGACGGCAACTATAGAAGAAGCAAGTTATACACACCGCGAAGACAATGGCTGTAGTATTATTGTTGTGCGACGACGACGACATTAATGGGTTTACAGAATATGCTTTTAATAGCGCCAATGGGAGTGAGGCGATTGATTATTCGGTTTACCCTATTTGTCTTAGCCGTATCCTCCTCTTCGGCGGGCCACGTCGAGTGGTCGGATCCGGGCATAGACCGGATTTACATTATTCGCCGAAATCACTATTTATAATACATACACAGAATGTATAATCACTGCGGCACGTCGGCAAGGCGATTTCGGCCTGTTTGTCGGTGTTATGTGCGACCGTGTCTGCGGCTTATGCGCAAAACACTTCCAAGTGTTTTCAATTAAAACTTTTGTGCCGGCCGGTCCCGAAACGCTGGCAGAGGACGAGAGGAGCAAAACGTTCATGTCTCGTATATAGTGGCAAAAAGAACGGAGAAACCGTAAACTATTTAATTCGTCCAGACGACCGATTTAAGTGGCTTGTCGAGTCCCCCCCCCGAGCACAGCGCCTCGACTTTTTCTCTTAACCGCGGCAGAGACTTGGGTTCGGTTTACAACCAAAGCAACAACAGCCGAAGGCGGCGATGCCGTGTTCTCCTGTTCTGAGTGTTGCTCGTCGAAATAACGGCCATGAATGTTGCCGAAGAATGAGAAAACACTATGAATGTGTTAAAAGCCATCGTGGATAGTTTACCTAGCCGATATTTTATGTTTCGCTCTGAAGACGAACTCGGAAAGTCGAGAACAACTGAACACGTGCAAACATCTAGGCCGTTCTAACCAGTGTGGCATACCATTCAAGCAGCGCAGTTTAGCTTATACTCGGTGTATTGTTTAGCCGTTTACTTAGCAATTCACTAAGATGCGAAAATTCTACACGAGAGAAGAATGGTTTTGAATAGCCGCGCCGTTAGGTCAGCAAGTAGCTTCCGAAACGTCAATATTAACCACCTCGGTGCTTAAAATGAATTTCGCGAAACCACTAATGTGGATTTGTCTATGAAAAACGGCGAAACTAGAACAGCCGAGGAGAACGCCATTTGCGTAGGGGACAAAATATACACGGTGCTCCGTTTTTTAAGCGAATCCATCATTGGCAGTGCATGAAAAAAATATGGACATGGTGCCTAACGATCAAATACTAGGCCTTTCGTGTTGTTGTCAGACAATACTATTGATGTATGTGGCGGCGACGGCTGTCGCGTACTAGTGTTCCTTTGTTTTTTACATTTAAACCCGGCCAATATATGAAATTCTGATGTAGGTAAAAGAATCGCTTTGCAGAATACGCACGGCTAGAATAAATCAAGTAAAACCAGTCACGAGCAACGCTTGATAAAAAAAAAAACTACAACAGTTGGCACGGTGAACGCACTAATTACAAAACGCTCAATCCGAACCCTTTCGTTGGATGATATCCAAGTGGTTTTAGATTTAGCACTGAAAAACGCGCGTAAAGACGTGTATTTTTAAATCGGTATATTATTAGCTAAACGCTTAACCCTTCACTGCACAATGTTTGCCTTATTTGGAACAATTAAAAATTTGGCGTTTTCCACGAAACTAAAACTAAAAAAAAACATTTTTTTTTCAAGTAGTTTAAGTATGAATATTCAAAGCACACTTTGAACAAAAGTAAAAAATCATACAGCGAATGGAGAAATTAATGAAAAAAAAAATCATGCAGTGGAGGGTTAAGTGTAATTTTGTCGGAGCTAAGGACAAACCGGATCACCTAATCTGCGTCGACAATTCAAACGGGTCTCTTAAAACTTAACTGCGACGTTTTTATATTGAGCATGCTGAAACGGTTGATTATTATTGTTAGCGTTCGACTGAAACACTCGGAAAACAAATGACGCGAAAACAAAAGTACAAAAAACGGTTACTCTCGGTTTTTCGCTCTTTATCTTATTTTTTTTTTTTTTTTGCATCGATGTGCCAGAGCATTAAGTCAATGTAGTCCGAACAATCCTCTACGCTCAACACACACACTCGGATCTGTTTATCCCGAAGCCGAATAAAACTTTTAAGAAAATAGCGTGGATTATATATATATATATATATATATAAAGCGACCGGGAGCTGTGCTTGGCCCGTCGGTATACGGTCCGGACCGGGCAATAGTAGTAAGTTAGCAAACGCCAGTAATTTATCAGGATTTACCTCTCCACTCGTCGGACTTAACAATGGCGTACCGAAGGCCGAAGACAAATATGCGGTCATACAGACGCAGTTTTTCTGTTTCCCGCAAAAGGTTGAAATCGTCGACAATGACTAATCTGAATACAGATAGTATCAAAGGGTGTGCGCATCCGTTTTTGTTTGCTCCAAAGCCTCACATTACGCCGGTTCGCTTGTTCTAATGATTACCGTTACTAAAAGCGTCGTCATTATTATTATTATATACCACCGTAGTGCAGCTCGGTTTTCGGTTTAGTGTTTATTTTTTTGTTCGGACAATTTCGAGAGAAAAAAAATACCGCGCGAGTAAATAAAAAATACACCGGTCGGTGTTGACTTTTGTTTTTGTCCGTTCAAGTATACTGCACGGCTCGACCTCCCCAAAATAGACAAACACATTGTGTGGTATGAAAAAAAAAGTATATAATAAATATACTGATTTGGAATGGAATATTCTGTAGATGAAAATAAAGTCGATGATGGGCTATTATAGTAATAATATAATACGAGAGGTTATTATATACAGTGGCCGGTGCGACGATGAAAAGGGCGTAATACAGTATGAAAAACGTTGGCATACCCTAAGGTCGGCACGTGTAATAATCTTATTCAAAAGAAGTAAGTATATTTTCTTCACGGGATCACGTTTTCATGATGTATGAGTATACGCCAAAAGCCAGCCAAGTTCCAAAATCGAATACTCTTGGATTACCATTAACTTTCTAATTATAGTATTGCGCCACTAATAAATTGATTTTTAAAATATATATTTATTACAAAATACATTCCCCGAAAAGTTTTTTTTTGTGGGTTAGTAATTAAAAAATTGAAACTATTTACAGTTTTTAAAATAAGATAAAATAACAGACATTTTATTTATATCCTATACTATATTTGATCTACTAAATAATTGAAATTTCTCATTAAGAAAAAATGTATTTCCTTCGAAGAAGAATAAAACATAGATATCTATGTTGCATCTTATACTGAAAATCTACAGTCAATATAACTCTTTTTTGTATTAAAATATAAAACCAGCAATTACAATTGTGTGTGATATCATATTTCTTCTCGTGACATTAATTCAGTAAAATATGATATGAAGTAAAGTTTTGTTATTCGCCAATTTATAATAATATTTATCATGTAAATCATGTAACCAATATAAAGTATATATTTGGTTACATTGATTAAAATTCTTGGTATTTAAAAAAAAAAAAGTGGAATCATTTTAATTACTTTTGGAACGAGTTTGACAAATGTCGTTACGTTAATTAGTTTATAAACATTTATGAGATACGATTAGCATGTTAAAAGCAGATGCTAATGTCAAAAAGGTTAGCAGGGCACACACAAACAGACATTTTTCTCAAAGCAAACTCGAACCCAGTGATTATAAAATAATTAACCAGCGTCTGTGTTTAAACTTCATAGTATTTGCTTAATGATTTTTATTTTTATTTTCTTATAATGTCAGTCCCTATTATTCGTGTTAGGTCCTGTATAGTATCCCTTGGCTGATGTGAGTAGTCTACGACTCGCACACATAGTATATACGTATAGTTATCCTTGAAATTGACTTTTAAGTATTTCGAATAAAGCTAAGGGATAAAAAAAAAGTAAAATTTATTACACTCTTATACATATAAGCGATATATCTTCTACTTTCTTTTTTCTTTTCCAGTACATCCCTGATCCATAAAATGGCGGTCGTTTCGTTACTTTCATTGCCTAGCCCCATGCTGAGTAGACGCTATCGCCAACACATGCCAACCGTTGGACAGGTGCGATTTATCCTTTCTGGAGACCTTTGGCCCGTTATCTATATAACGCCGCACCCCCGCTGGCTGATAATATAAAGGGCTAGGGGTGACATTCATTTTGTAATAGAACTTGGGACACATCGCACAAAAACACACACAAAAGCGAGCACGTATATATTACATTATAATATTATATATATATACATACATAAAAATGTATATAAATAGGCACAAGCGAGTTGGTAATAAACTGAAAAAAAAAATGAATTTTTTAATACTTGCCCGAGATTTTGACCGGAAAGATCCACCGGAAGAGTATCCGTCATTGGATCCGTGCGGTCCCATGTTGGGAAACTGTAAAAATCAAATAATTACACATTTCGTCGCTTTAAAACAACACTATATTTATTATAATTATTAAAAACATAATCTTCTATTAAGCAAGAATTGAAAACATTACCTCAGAATTATCAAAATGTACATAACACTAGTAACATTTTTGGCTGTATTTGTTAAGTTATAATAATATAATACAGGTATTTTAATGGTAGTGTAGACTTTTACTCTTTCTAGTGCTTTTAATGACAAAACAAAAAAAATCTTAATATTTTTCTAATGATTTAGTTGTATAATATATTACTTGAACATGAAGTAGTAAAATGTTTTATAAAAAGTTTAGTCACTAATGCTATTCATTTTTTCTGACATTTATTTATAAAGAGGTTAAGTAGCAGATTATAAACTGCAACAACTAGTAACATGTTTTTTTTAAGTTTAATTTTGTGTGTTGTATATCTTATATTTTTGTACATATATTATTGAAGTTTAAAGATAAAAAGGTTTTGTTTTTACCTTTCCGGAAGTTTGTCGTTATGCTCTTATTGGCAATTTTCAAATTTACAAATTAAAAAGAAAATACTTAAAAAAACGAAAATTCTCACATAAGAGAGTAGTTTTTTTGAAATTATTTAATTGCCGATAAAAATACCACCCCCTTCCTCCTACTTCAGTATATTACTTTTAGTTTTACATGGACAACAATTTTTCCGTGCCGGTAATGGCAATTGACATTTTTTTTCAGTCTGGGTTTCTTTTTTGTTTGTGAGTATGTAGGAAACGAGAATACAAATCTCAGCAAACGAGTTGACACGATAAACAAATATTGGAAATGCAACAGAAATACATGTACGCAGGATGTGTGGAAAAATAATCGTAAAAAGCAAATACACGCCGTTTGTACGTCAAAGGATAGAACACATAAATATAACACACACCAATATACACATTTATATACACTTTGTAGTAGCACGGCAAACGAATACATACATCCATATACGACAAGGTCGATTTTTTTTTTTGCTCTCCTTTAAGCTTACCTTCTGCGACCCTACCTCTCGGGTAGAGATGCCCATTTTGTCATGATGTCTGATTTGCACTGGGTAGATGATCTGATAGTAATTGGCTCCGATGTTCCGCACCAGCTCTTGGTTCTGCCGATAGTCCCGCAGGAGCCTCTCCACTTCTCCTGTAAAAAAAAACACAAAATATATATATTTATATAATAAATAATAATGAAAATCGTAAAACACCAAGCCAGTATAAAAAAAAAAAATGGAATATTTTATTCTTCTTCAAAGCACGTGCGCCCCAAAAATAACGGACTATTATCGATTTGCCCGTCGGTGGTGGCGACCTATCTGGATGAAAACTCTCTCCTCAGTCTTTGTAGCACTGAGGTAGCTACAGATAAAATTAAAACAATTATCTATTGGAAAAAATTCGCGTTAACTAATGCTACTGGTTCTCGGTTGAGGTTTTTTATGATTAAAAAAAAAAATATATATTGATATGTACAGGAATAATATTTTTATTGTCCAAGAAGGTTCTACACGCTCGATAAAATATAATTGAGGCGAGGAAATTCCATAAATTTATTGCGCACCGTTTGTTCCCCTAAAATATAATAATAATGCGAATAATGTAACAGTGTAATATTATATACCTATTACTATCATTGATTATACACAATGTTAGGTATACTTAAACAGGATGCATGGTAATCACTGTCAGAAGACATTTCAAAAACCAGCAAGAAACAACAATAGAAACATTTAGAATGGAGTCAATACCTATTTTAAGTAGTTGCATATAACATCATAGACAATTTTATTACAATTTCCTGGACTTGTAAAGTATATTATATCATGTATTGTAAAGGTTCCTATCAATGCATTTTAAATATGTTTTTGTGTAAATGTTTACTATATTTTATAGTTATACCTAAGTTATAATATAAGAAAAGTAAAGCATTAAAATTGAAATATCATATTTAATAGTTTAAAAAAAAAAAAAGAAAAAAAGTCAAATTGTTTTTTGAAGTCATACTAAAATATAATATAGTGAGTTTTTTAAAATTGACCGAACCGACTTTATTGACGATGGTTAAACATATTGTGATTATTTTAAACAAAACATAATATCTAAATTTATTGGATAGTGTTTACGCTGACCCTTGCTTTGTACGAACACGTTGGCTTATGATTTTTATCTCCAAATATTATTATGCGGCATACCTTAGAATAATTTCTGAAAACTGTTTCTGCAGCGGTCGTTAAGGGATTATTATGCACCCGGCGGATGAGTTAAAGTGCGGTTTGCCAGTTTATACTGTTGACCGTAGGCCGCGTGTTAGAAGTTTGGCTATTTGTTTCTCGCTTCTTTCTTCTTACCCTCGAGGAAACAATACTCGCGGTCGTTAACATTTTCAAACACCAATAAAAAGATGGAATTAATAACGATTTTGTGTTTTACTTTGAGAGAATGTCCCGTTAAACTCGTCAGTTATTATATTAGGTTTGTCACGTCCGATGCGTTTCAAAAAAATAGTAATTTGATCGGCGTTTTTCGGATAATTTCATTTGCTGTCAAAGCGAAACCAGATGAAACGAGACAAAACTAAGTGTAATGCACACACACACACATATATATATATGTATACACACAAAGACCCAAAGAGATTTAGTCTCATTAGTCCCAACAGGATAGAATAGACTCACGCGCCGGCACATGTGTATTAATTGTTTTTTCTCATCGGCCTACTACTACTGGATGAACAGTTGCGAATTATTTTTGTCAAAAGAATCATTTGTTCTTTGCCTTCGTATATATCTATAAATATATCTTTTGTGTTGATTATCGCGTACAAGGAGACGACTGTAATTTGTCTACCCCTCGACGATTTTCACAAATTGGTATTGCAGCATCTTCAAGACTCTCTCACCGGTTCATTCTAGCAGTTTTATCGACAAAGTTTCAATAGACCAGACATCGGCGGCTCGGCGATTTTTTCAGCTTCAATGCAAGCGGGGATAAGGTATAAGTTTTATAATGGTGTGGCTTAATCAGAGCTTTGAACAGAAATATATTTTTTGGCTTTTGTTTTTTTCCGAGGTGTTGTAAGCAATTAAGAGTTTTTAATGGTTATTGAACGGCGATATTTTAATTCGGGTGTTTAACTGTTATGTTTTCAGTTATCTAATAAACTATAAAAAGTGTGATAAAAACCAAAAAACTTATATTTATTTATTAAATGAATAACTATATTTTCTTCGAATTAAAATGATTTACTCTAATAAACTATAAAAAGTATAAAAACTCTTTATTTATTAATATTAAAAAACCCGTTAATACTTTTAGAGTTTTTTTCGATATTATCCTTGTCTAGACCCGCTTTAGCTTTCAGTTATAATAACTTTAAAAGTACTGCGAATTCCTCAATTTCTTATTATAATTGAATAGCATAAACAATTACTGAAAGCATGCAACAAACGTTTGTCAAATTTCAATTAAAAAAAAAAAAACATTGATGGGTTAATGGGTTATTTAATCGTAATAGATCATACGACGTATGTCTATAGATGTTTGAATAATTAAGATTTAATAAAATGATAAAAAGTATTAAGCATTATCTAGGGGATTTGCGTCGTTACCGTTTAGAAATAATTTAAGTCTGGTACTCCAGGGAATAAAATAACTATAGAAAATAATAGCGGATTAAATAAAAAATGTTAGATTATTATTATCACCCCTGTGGAAGCGAACGACACAAAGAATGCATGTAAGATTTTCCTCGAAGAAGGCACTCGAGTTATCAGCGGTCGACTGTGGGTAACAGCAATAGGGGAAGTTATACATTTTGTATAAGTCAAAAATAAATGAACATGCTATCTTTTTTTTAGGAGGGCAATATAACAAAAAAAATAAAATGAATAAATAAATAAACTAAACATACAAGATGGACGAAAACCAAAAAAAAGAAAAATACCTCATTGATTAAAGTGCAATGTGCATTATTTCTACACTACCACCGCCATATTTTATACATTGTTACATTATTATGGTAATATTCGAGTACAATGTCGGGCATATCTTTTGAAATCCGATCGGGAAAAATCTAATAGCGCCCGCTTTCCGCATCTCCTATATGTATATATTATTATTATCATGCATATACACCATACGATACCGCTGCCGGGACTTACTTGTACTGACACACAGGCGCACTATTCGACAAACCCTGCGAAATCTAATATAGGGTACACGCCCGTTTTGGATTAGTTAAATAACAGAGCCAAGCACGGCGCGTTTGCCCGGAGCTATTTAAAATGTTCTATTTGAGTTTTCTCGCCGGTCGCCAATGGCGCCCACATAAAAGGGTTATATTATTCTGTAATAGAATCGTGGCATTTACATATTGTTAAACAACGCCGGTTCGGCCTTTGTCAAGCCACACGTGTCTCCGGGGAGGGTCTGGTCCGTTTGAAGTGCACCGCCGAACCTCGAGCCTCGGGCGTTTGGCAATTATTAGCTGTTTTTTTTTTTTTTGTCAGAACCGAACCGTACGACATAGACGGCGGCGGTCTGACCGTGGATAATAATTTCGAGATTATAATTAATTTAGAAAACTGAAAAAAAAAAAAATCAGCTAAAATTGGGTCGGACCACAGGCCTTCAGGGATTATATAACAATTTCAAAACTCTTGCAAACAACAACACCTTCGAAAGTGTACAGATGGTATAAAAAATAAATTACTCGATTTATAATAAATGTGCCTATATATTATTTGATCGTGTCAATAGAAATAATATTGTGTTTATTACGATATTGTAATCAGTGTGTTGGACATTAAAAAGCGTTTTGAAGCAGCTCTAGAGTGGGTTTAATCGGTCTGCCGTAACGGCGATCATATTATTATCATTATAACGTGTATTATTTTAACGGCGTCACGGTGTCGGCGTTAATCAAAAATATTTAATCAAGTGCGCTTTGGAAGGTTAATCAAATAATTATGATGTTTTTTACGACTTCGAGGGGCAGTGCTTTTTATACCATGATGTTACTATAATATAATATTTGGTTCGTTATTTTCGGATATACATGCCCGCGTAGCGGTTGATTCGCCGACCGTGTTATTAAAAACCGAGCAAAATGGCACTTAAAATTACCGCTGATATAATCTCAAAACGCTAAAATACGGTTTTTATTTTTTATTTTATAAATGTAAAAATGATAAATAATTGCCTTGGCCACGAAATGAGCACGGCAAAAAATACAATAATCGCATCAACGACGCGGTGTTAGTTTGTGCCTTTTGTCTGCAAACAACGAGAAGCAATTTATTAACTATTATATTTTATTGTAAATACGCAAGTTACAAAATTTGCAGGTGTAGTATAATAATATTCTTTGTGGCACAAAAAAAAAAAATCATTTTAGAGGTTGCCCGAACACAAAAGCACAGACACGATGGTATCATATGATGATGAAGTCACTATAGTGTACTGGAAACAATGTAAATAATGTTTTACGAGTACCGTCACTCACTTCTTGTAATATAATAATAATATGATCAATAACTTTTAAAAGTGCTCTCAATTTAATTATGTACGGGTATCCTCTTTGTTTAATGAAAACACATTTTTTTCATTTTATAGAATCCTATTATCCGGTTATTGCGTTTATTATCAACATGAGGTTTGCATTTAATTTAATTTAAAAATAAAACCATAGCGTTAAACGTGCGGTGTCCCAAGTCCGATAGTTCATACTGACAATGAGTAGTCTGGAGCAAGTGATCGATACTCGATAGAGATGTTTACTAAACAAATTGGAAAAGTGCAAAGTTCTGATATAGAATTTCATATACTATGAGACCAATACATCCTGATCGGTATTTCGGTCCTTCGATACACAATTACTAATAAGGATGAAAAACAAAACGTGTACGTTAAACGAATAGTATTTCATGCTCGGCAAACAGTATTGTTCTGTTTTGTGTATTGACCGCACGTGTAAGCGTCGCATGTTTCGCAAGTGTATATGCGAAGTACGAGTATCAGCTGTTATATTTTTGACATGTCATTTTTAAATAAAATATTCCGGCCGTGTACCTGAGGGCGGACATCCGATATTTCGCTGTAAACACAGACGGGCGTGTTTTATTACCGAATACTTTAGAATTAAAC